TGTGTGTGTGTGTGTGTGTGTGTGTGTGTGTGTGTGTGTGTGTGTGTGTGTGTGTGTGTGATTTGCACCACAACAGCCCCTGTTCCACCCAGATGAGTAGATCCGAGATCAAAGCAACTTTACCTCTATTGCAGACAATGAGGCACACTTGAGATGAGCCAGTCCAACAATGAAACAGATTTACCTATATAGCAAGCAACACGGAGCACAATAGATCCATTATTCCCCTTCCTTAAGTATCTTGGGGTACCCCTTTTATTTGTTCTTGCAGCTCCCCTTCTACTTATGCCTCTCATGTAGGCTGTCCACGTTGATTGTGGTTGAGCACCAGCTGCCTACATGTAGGCTGGCCTCTCATTTATTATTAGTGCACAAGAGAGAGAGAGAGAGAGAGAGAGAGAGAGAGAGAGAGAGAGAGAGAGAGAGAGAGAGAGAGAGAGAGAGAGAGAGAGAGAGCGCTCTGCATACTGGCCGTGCCATCACTGTGTGTCATGGGGTCACAGAGTTCCTAGTTTAACTGACCCAAGGCACAACATACAGCCAATACGAAACATCACAATGCCATTGGCAAGTGCGCACAGGCAGCAACATAGCTCTGTGGGACCCATTCCTCTGCTCCACGCTCACGTCTGCAATTATCTCAGCCCACTGTGAATCCTGTCTTTGAGGTACACTCTAGTCACAGTGCAACAGTTAGGACGCGGCCCCACTTCACATTAACTGCTAGCCAGTCTCTGACACCCCAATTCTAGCACTGTTTAACAAGTACAGGCTACAATTCAAACATATCTCTGATAAATAGGAAAAAACAGAGTGGGGCCAGACCCAGGCTGTCATACATACCCACATCCAAGCCTTTTCTCGGCATTCCCAATGGCCCTCTGTGAAGATATACCCTGTTTGATTTCCCCTTGCTCAGTCTGAGAAATGGGGAGGTATATCCTGGCCATACATCCTACCTTGAGATGGCCTTTTTGTCTGCAAAGGGCCTGCAGACAAGTATGCCAGTCACAATCACCCTGACCTTCCACGGCAGCTGGCCACCCCAGCAAGACAGCCATGGCTGGTGTGACCAGAGGCCTTCGCACCACTGTCAAATACCCACCACCACGGGGCACTTCCTAGGAGTGTCCACACAACAGTGTAGCCTTGACTTGGCTTCAAGATCAAACTGAACTGCAAGCTGATCACTTACTGAAGAGCGTGCATCGCGGGCATGCAGTTCTTCTGTATGTTCTGATGGAGTGCCAAATAATGGGCTCCATCAGAAAGTATGGTTAAGAGGGGCGGTGCTCTGGGCAATTTGGACGCTTCATAATGAAAGGATTTGACAGGGCAAGGAGGTAGCAAACCTGGAGTGTGTTTATCCACATCTACGGCATATTTCTGGAGGGTGGGGTGAAGACCAGCTTTCCAGACACAGGGTCCTTCTTAGCCAGGCTGGGGTATGCGCCCCAAACCCTCGAGAACTTGCTATCATTGGGGCGTGATTTCCGCCTGCACCTCTGAAAGTCCACCAGCAGAGCCACAAGAATGTTCTCCAACGCTCTATTCCTAATGGCTGGCATTGTTACCTCCTTGCCCTGTCGAATCCTTTCATTATGAAGCGTCCGAATTGCCCAGAGCACCGCCCCTCTGATCACTTCTGCCGCATAAAGGCGTTTTTTGTCTTCGTGTATCACAGTCATCATGGCACCCAACAGGATCGCCGCAACATCCTTTCCGTTGACCACCAACGAGGAGGGATCTGTCATTTCTGTTGACACCATTTCCAAAATTGCTGCACCTCAGAGCAGCCCACAAAAAGATGAGGGATCGACTCCACCTGCCCACATTCTGAGGCTGAGCAGCATTCCGCCTTATACCTGCTCTTGGTGGACAGCCACTGGGCAGTGGGGACTGCGAGGTGGTAAATCATCCATAGCAGTCCCACCTGCTTCTGGTCCGGTAAAGTCTTCAGTGTTGCGCACTACTCCTTTCATTTCCGGAATGTCCATCTGGCCATCCAGGCCGGGGGGAACCCGTCCCTTTTCGCCCACCGGTCCTGGAGTTCTATCAAGATGTCCACCCTTGGGAGTAGCGCTCGATAATTTCTTTAACAGTGAGCTGCGGGAGCGGGATACTCTTCCTGCTGTAGTTCTGAAGTGGTGGTACCACTCCTGTGGGTCGAACACCAAGTCTCACCTTGCTTTGCTGATGCAGAAGGGGAGGTACTCTTCATCCCCATTTTGCCCCCCTTGCACACCGATACCGTCTCCACCGATTCAGGGTCAAGCTGGCACGGCCAGGGCATCCTGTCCTGGCCTGCTCCAATCAGTGGGGCGGCCAACCCCTCGTATCCCAACCTCACTACGCATTTCATAGCTTCCAGCCTGTCTCCTGCCTGCGTCCCTTCGATCCTATAAGTTGTCCTCGGGTGGAGCTCCCCGTTTCTCTTCACCCACTCCCCCTTCTGAAACCCGCCCTTCTTTAGCAGCTCCATCCATTCAGGTGGGATCGCCCCTCTCATCTCTCGCAATCACTGGGGTCTCCTAGACTGCCAGTGGAGCCTCCCCATCATTTTTCATCAGAGCATCACTCACCTAGCTGAGTGTCCCAGAGATGCCCGGCCTTGTACCCCCGCTTTCTGCCCATTGTTGTCCGGAGGCGCCTGCCTTACCTTGTCAAGGGAATGAAGCTGGTTAAGGACCGCATCCACAGTTTCTGGCAAAAGGCAACGGATCTGCATCTTATGCATCCAAATGGCCAGCAAAGTGGACCACACTGCTCCCCTGCGAACATGACCCATCAGATTCGCACTAGTAAAGCACAAACCGACCAACTCTGGTGGTTCTCTCAGTGTATATGCCACGTGCTGTTCAGTTAACCCCCTCCAGGGTTCACCCGCCGTCTTCAAGAGCAGCCATACTGGATTCCTCAAGTGGAGAGCACTCATCTGCAGCCTTGGGTCTAGGATACCCAGCCCTCCCTCTCACCGTGGCTGAGTCAACTTTGGCCATGTTACTCTACATGTCCCTCCCCCCTCCGCCTCCACCTGTCCATACCATAAATAAGCACGAACGACTCTCCTCAGCTGCATTAGCGTCCTTCTACTGGGCAGGTGGATGGCGCCAGCATACCACAGAGTGGAGAGCACCGAATTCTTGACAGCTAATGCCTTACCAAAGACGCCTAGGCTGACCCTCGCTCTCCAAGCAGCCAGCTTTGCCACCAGTGCCGCCGCCAATGCTGTCAACTGAGTGGCACCCCCATCAACTGGGGAGATGATCACCCCTATCATCCCTGTATGTGGGGATGTCCCATCCCTCCGGGGGAGCCATGCCTTGCGGGAAGACAAATTTGGAATTCTCCCTATTGACCTTCACCCCCAAGAATCTGCAAAACTTCTGAAGAGTGGACTTCAATATGTTCAACTGCTGCCCTGTGGGCCCGGCGTGGGGGGGGGAATAATGGCCCTGGTGTTGTCAGTGAAAGCAGAGGACTTCAGCCACTGCTCGGTGCCCACCCGCAGGCCTTGCAATCTTCCATCATGTCTCAGAACGCCATGCAGGGCTTTGATGTAAGTGACGTACAGGGCCGGAGATAATGGACAGCACTGTCTCAATGACCTCGTGACTTCGATGCCCGTAGACCGTACCCCATCCACCTGCATGAATGCTTGGGCATGTGTTAGGACAGTTCTGACCCACCCTCTAAAGATACCGCCTATGCTTCTGTGTGCCATACTCTGAAGAAGGAATTCCCACCTGACCTGGTCATAGGCCTTCTCAAGGTTGATGAGCACAAGCGCTAGTTGATGTCCCCCACTCGGCGACTCCTCCAATACCTGATGCGCAATATTCGTGATTATCTGCCTCCCTGGCATGACACCGGTGTGCGTGGGGTGGATCAGCATATGAAGGACTTCCCCCAGCCGGTTCGCCAGGACTTTAGTGTTCAGTACTGAGATAGGTCGCCAATTGCGCACATCATCCTTAGCCCCTTTTTTTCTAGATCGCTACTGTGAACTTATCTGCAAAACCTTTTGGAAGTATGCTATGCCGGATTGCCTCGTTAAACTCGTCCGCGAGGAGCATCCTGAAAGTCCTGCGATACACCTTGTAGAATTCCACTGGGACTCCATCCGTTCCTGGCCCCCTCAGCCTAGTCAATTCCGCAATCACTCACCCCACCTCCTCCTCGACTGAGAGCAGCATCCAGCAATCCAATCCTTTCCAAATCCAGTCATGCTCCAATAGACGACCATACTGCCTCCTCCGGCGCTGCCGCCATGTCCCCCCAAGTCCACTCCTACTCTTAGACGATCATACTGCCTCCTCCAGCACTGCCGCCATGTCCCCCCAGGTCCACTCCTACTCCTAGATGATCATACTGCCTCCTCCGGCACTTCCACCATGTCCCCCCAAGCCCATGCCTACCCCTCCGTAAATAGATACCTACAATAATCTTCCACATACCTCAAGAGCTGGGTCGCCAGCAAAGTCGGCTTGTGCCAGAATAGAGAGAGCTGTTCAAATACAAGTGCACACCCAGCCCTCT